GAGCTGGTACAAATATACCAGACTAGATCTACAGCTCTGAAACAGGTCCTAGAGTGGATCGGAGACCCATGGGTGGAGAATCCAAGTCAGGGCCATTTTTTGAGATCTTGATACTTCACAAACAGTACAACTGGGAAAAATGAAAAAGAAACGGAAGCTAAGGCAATGATACAATGAGATTCATTTGGATTTAAGGAGTAACTTTGCAGGGAGATCCATGAGGTCAGACAAGGCTGTCAGCGAAGATCAGGTGCAGAGAGGTGCCTGTCCACTGTCACACGTGGCAACCAGCAGGTGCTGGCAGGATGCATCTGTTATCCAAGGCGCATGCTGAAAACAGCCAGCACAGCCAGACACTATCCAGGATTGATGTCCACCCCACACTATGCACCCTCAAGCACGGTGCGTTGTTGTTGTGGTCACCCACCAGCACGCGCATGCTCATGTTGGCGCTGAGCACAGGCAAGCCCTGGCTGCGGGCCTGCAGCGTCAGGTCAAAGGCCTATAGCTGATCCTGATCCAGATTGCATTGCATGAATAGCAGGCCACTGTGTGCACTAACCAACACGGAAGGTGACAGTGCTTGTACCTTCAGGTCACTGGCCACGATATGGTAGGAGACCTGACTGTTGGATCCCAGATCCGGATCAGAGCAACTGACCTGCATGATGGAGGTTCCCAAAGGATTGTTCTCGGCCACAAGGACCATGCAGGAGAGCTTCTAGAACCATTTTCACTGGCGATGTACATAGTGACACTTAGGATGAGGAAGAGGACAGGGTTGCAGTGATGGTTACAAAGCCCACCTGTAGCAATGCCTTGTATTATTGTAGGAAGATTCCATTCTGAAAGGTAGTTCTTCTTGTATTGAATATATGACCTCCCCATTTTATTTTGAATTGGGATCTTATTATTTATTTGAAAAGCAGATTTAGAGAGAGAGACATATTGAGAGTGCTCTCTCTGCTGGTTCACTCTCCCCTGGCCAGGTTGGGTTGAAGGTTGAAGCCGGGACTGAAGCAGACCTATATATGGGATGCAGTTTAACCCACCATGACACAAGCAGGCCCTATATCTTATGTTTTAAACAGAGCTATTGATACTAGATATTTAGAATCTGTGAAAATGACATTGTGCTTATTGTGCAGAATTTCCATCTCAAGGATACACTCTGTTTTCTGTCCTTCAATTCCAAACCATTGGAATAGTTTTAATTCTTGGGACTCTAACGTCCTCAAGCTTCCATTTCTCCACTATGGAGGTCAAGACCAGGTTGGAGATGGATACTCCAGGCTGCAAAGGCATATATGGTCTTGTGTTCATGCTGTCTATCAGACTGATGCTCACATATACTGATGCTGACCCATCATCAGAAGGTCAGAATGCTGACCTTCACTTATTGTAAGGTCGTCTGGTTCCATCCATGTGGCTGCAAATATCAGGGTTTCATTCTTTTTATGACCAGAGTATTCTATTTTGTATATATACCACATTTTCTCTACTTATTCATCCACTGATGAACACTTCTGTTGATCCCACATCTTAGCTTTTGTGAACAGTGCTGCGATAAACATGGGAATACAAATTTTCTTCGACAGACTGATTCTTCGGTGGTACTGCTGGTGCGTATGGTAAATCTGTTTTTACTTTTTTTGTTGATTATTATTTCTAAATGCATTCTACAAACTGTATGTGGAAGACAGATCTGCTCCTCAACATTCTGTAGGTCTCAACTTTCTTCAGTCACGTGCTCTTTTTCCACATTAGACTGCAGCTTTCTCGCAAGTGGCTCCTGAACACTGAGCCCCGGCTTCTCAGTAAGTGCTCTCTCCACAGTCAATTCTTGGCCAGCTCCTTCAGCACGGAGCAGTGAATTGGCTCAAAGAATGTCTAGCAGGGCAAACACAGCAAGGAGGAAAACAATGTTTGCCTTGGTCCTACTTGGGCCATCAGTACTGTCTCCTGTCTCCTCCATGGTCAGGATTGCTGCTGCTGTAGCAGTTCAGGGAAGGCCCTTTGCAGACTTTTTTTTTTGAGAATTATCTAGGCTTCAGCCAAGAAGAAGCAGAGCTTGATGCCAGTGATTCTGTATGTTCCCAGTTGAGATTTATAGAAATAGGCTTCACAATAAGAATATTCCTGTCTGTTGTTGAATTTGCAATCCATCTGATTAGGAAAGGCATCAAGTGGGAATATTTGGGGACTGACTTATTTTTGTCTGTTTCCACATTGGCCAAACTGTGACAGCCTGATTATCTCCTCTAGAACAACCTGAAGACCTGAGAGTTAAGAGCAGAGACAAAGATACCTCCCCTTGCAAGCTGCATTTTGAAAGGTGGTTGTAAAGTCTTGTTGATGCAATTCAATGTTCCTGGGAACTTGTGACTCCACATTAAACCACAGTGATGACCTTTTAAAGATTTCTTCTTGACTTAGCATTTTTAAGCCAAAATTCGTTCTTCCCACTGTAGGCTTCACTTTTCACATATTATAGTCTCAAGGTGAATTAATAGCTGGATCTTCATCCAAATACACATACAAAGCTTCTAAGAGGTTTCACAATATAAATATCTTACAGACTGTGCACTAGTTTTTATCATTTGACCAATGTCCAGATCATCAGCTTTGTAACGTAGATCTGAGTCATCCCTTACTGGGTGTGTAAATATACAGGGCTAAGCATTTATAAAATCACTGGATTTCCACTATGATTCTATTTTTCCAAGAGATCACTTTTTAATCATTGAACTCAAGCTTTTTTTTTTTGCCATGATTATGTGTGCAAATCACCATGTAAACTGTGTCAGAGATTTAATGATGAGCTGAGAAAATATATTCATCTTCAATGACATTACAAATAGATCTCTGTATGATTACTCCAGGAGGAATGATCATGATCCCAACTTTTTCATAAACCAATCAATTCTGTTTGACAATTTCTTCACGTTTTATCAAATTAGACTCTTGCCATACGGTATCCAGAAACTTCATCCTTCATAGAATAATTTTTCCATAGACCATCTTTTGTCATTGGTATTCTTTTAAAAGCAGTTGAGAGAGATCTCCTGTCTGTTGGTTCACTTCCCAAATGTTCACCACAGCCAAGAACCCCATCCTATAGTGGTAGTGGGATCCAACTATTTGAGCCATCGCCTGCTGCTGCCCAGCTGGAATCTGGCGCTGGGACTCCAACCCAGACACTTTGGGATGATTATGAGTGTCTTAACACAGTGTATTAACCATTAAGCCAAACACCCACCCCACTTCTTATATGGCCAAATCTAAATACCTCCAATCTCCAAGTGTTAGTAATCCAGTTTCCAGTAAAATTTCCCACAATCCAACAATCTCTCTTTTACAATGAGTTTCACAGAATCCTTTTTATGTCACGTTAGTCAGAAAAGATGAATGCAAAATATAGAAAACTATCCTTGCCCATCTTTTATGGCCTAAAAGTGTGGCTTCTTATTCAAGAACATAGATAGGCACTTAAGATCTTTAAAGCAGATTCAGAAGAACTTATAGAATAGTTTTGTTTCTGATCTCAGGTCATCAGACACACACACACTCATTATTTTCCAACAGAAATGTCAATTCTGTTGGCATTGAAAAAAATCAGTTGGTTTTTCTCATTTTTTGAAATGCATTTTAACCATAAAAAAGGTTACTTAATGAATCATATGTTATGAAACATGATTTACACAGTACCCTTAGTACCCACTATAATGTTCTAATTAGGTATTATCTCTATCATGTTGAAACTCAAATAGATGAACTTGTCAAAGGTGTCAGCGTTAGGAAGTGACCTAATTGCAAAGCTGCTGTCCTTCTAGTAAAATACCTCTGAAACTCAGAGAAGTGATGTTAGGTAATCCCCAAGACACATTGTTTGCAGATTCACCCATTCATTAAACTACTGTTTAAGGAACCCTATCCAGCTGAATCCAGAAGCATGATTCTGATCCCTGATGTCTGAGATCCAGTCTAGATCCTTGCTTTCAATGATTCTTCCCCTAAATCAAGTAAACAGAGTTCAGCATAATCTGACCATGTTAGTTTAGTTTCCCAAATACATCACTCATTTTAAATGATTTTAAACAATTATCATAAGAACTGGCTGTGGGATAAGCATTCTGGTCATTTCTAAATGACAATAGAGGATCACAGTTGTTCCTTTTTCTCAGTATTACTCAGTAAATACGAATTTTGTAACTTTAGATAAACTCAAGTTCTTCCTGTTTAAAACACAGATAAGCAGAACCACATACACACACACACACACACACACACACACACACACACACACATGCTATATATATTTACCTTGGAAACACAAAAATATTCCATTCCTAGCATGTATATAAGATGGAAAAACAATCCTTAAAGTTTTTCACTTGAAGACATCATACGCCATATTTCAGCGAAAAAGTTTCAAACGTGTAAGGAATAAGCTCATTGTTTAGGAAGGAGTTTAAAACCCTGATGACTTAGGACGCCAAGAAAGAAGCAGTGTATTCCTTCACTACAGCTACATCATCCTCCACAGAATGACAACACCGTCTCATGTTTAGTTACTTCACTTTTGAAAACAAGAAACTAAAATGACCTTGATTTCAAGTGCAATCAAAGGCCACTCTATATAAATTTACTTTTTTAATGTTTGTTTACAATTTCTGAATTAGATTCTATTCCTTGGTGAGATTGTGTGTTTTTAATGACAAACTGGAATCAGATGTTCCACAAAACACTGGGGGGATATATTAAAAGCAGGAACAGTATTATAGTTGATAAGCTATAGGATCCTACACAGTGTAAATAAAGGACTTCATGAGTTATCTACAAATATGATTAGACATAAAATCCCCTATAAACAATGCCGGAGGGAAGGTAAGTGAGCTGTTCTTGGCATCCACCATCTTTATATAAATTTATTGGCATTTGTTTTATAAATTTTAAGCATACACAATCTACTTTAATGATTATTTTACTCCACACTCAAAATTCAATATGGACTTACCTGAGGAGACCCATGGCTGTCTTTAGAAAGCACCAGATCACCTGTTTGCACAAGAGGCTCGCTTTTCCCACAGCTCTCCTGGCTGAGCAGTGTGTCTGCATAGTTGGGCTGAGGGAAGATGAGGTGGCTCCTCCGCGAGTCCGCGGTCAGGGACACCTCATGAGAATAGGTCTGCAGGAAAGCACGCACCCCGTCCACGCCCACCAAGTGCGACGCGGCCACGCCCGACAGCCCGCCTCCTCCTGACGCCTGCAGCAATCGCGACTTGTGCCAGCGCCTCAGCCTGAGTGCCAGCAGCACAATCACAAAGGCCAGGAAGACACACGACACTGTGGCCACTGCCACCACCAGGTACAGAGTCAGGTCTGCCTCATCAGCTTCCACTGAAGGCTTGAGGCTGCCCAGGTCAGCCAGCACTGCGGGGATGCTGTCAGCCACGGCCACTGTGAGTGTGACAGTGGCTGAGAGAGGCGGCTGCCCGTGGTCCTGGACGGCCACCACCAGGCTCTGCTTCAGTGCATCTCTGTCCAGCAGGGCCCGTGCTGTGCGCACCTCGCCCGTGTGCAGCCCCACAGAGAACAGCCCTGGCTCGCTGGCCTTGAGCAGCCGGTAGGACAGCCAGGCATTCTGGCCAGAGTCCCTGTCCACTGCCACCACCTTGGTCACCAGATAGCCAGGTTCTGCGGAGCGTGGTGCCAGCTCCACGCCTGTGGATCCATCGGTGGGGAGGGTGGGGTAGAGGATCTCAGGGGCATTGTCATTCTGGTCCAGCACAAAGAGGGTGAGGGAGGCATTGCTGCTGAGAGGTGGGTCCCCACTGTCACGTGCCACCACTTGCAGATGCAGGTCTCGGAACTGCTCATAGTCAAAAGATTGCAGTGCATACAAGACACCTGTGTCCGAGTTGATGGACACATAGGAAGACAGTGGAACCTTCTGGACCACGCTCTCCACCAGAGAGTAAGTGACCTGGGCGTTTTCATCACTGTCAGGATCGTGTGCGGTCACCGAGAGAAGAGAGGCTCCTCGGGCGTTGTTCTCTGGAAGGTAGGCCGAGTAGGAATCCCGAGGGAAGACCGGTGCGTTGTCATTGACGTCCGCCACAGTCAGGGCGATATGAGTCTCTGTGGACAGGGGCGGACTTCCGCGGTCCTTAGCCGTCACCGTGATATTGTAGTTGGCAATCTGTTCCCGGTCCAAGACTGTGTCTGTGACCAAATTATAGTAGTTCCCGTAAGATTTTTCCAACTTAAAGGGCAGATTCCCGTGGATGAAGCAGGTCACCTGCCCATTCTCCCCAGAGTCCTGGTCATTTACGTTTAAAAGGGCAATTAAGGTCCCTCGGGGAGAGTTCTCCGGAACGGAGCTGGTGAGCGAGGTGACGACTACCTCGGGGGCGTTGTCATTAACGTCCAGAACCGTGACCAGGACCTTGGCTCGGGCGGAGTAGCCTGCGTTGTCCTTGGCTTGCACTTCCATCTCGTAGAAAGCCGATTCCTCGTGGTTCAGCTCCCCGATAGTTGATATCGTCCCCAGGCGGTCGTCCAGCTTGAAAACTTGCGCCGCTTTGTCGTCTACGTAGCGGAAGGAGTACAGCACTTCCGCGTTGGCGCCTTCATCAGGGTCCGTGGCGTTAACGCGCAGCAGCTGCGTGCCCACAGCCACGTTCTCCGCAACGCTCACGTGGTACTCGGGCCGAGCAAACGCCGGCGCATTGTCGTTCGCGTCAAGGACTACCACGCGGATGCGCGCGGTGCCCGTGCGCACAGGCTCGCCCCCGTCGCGCGCAATGAGGATCAGGTGGTGAGCCGCCTGCTCCTCGCGGTCCAGGGCGCGCTCCAGCACCAACTCTGGGTATTTGTTACCATCCGCTCCGTTTTGCACGTCCAGAGAGAAATGAGTGTTGGGGCTTAGCTCGTAGCTCTGGAGAGCGTTCTCCCCGATATCCGGATCCCAAGCATGGGGAAGGGGGAACCGCATCCCCGTGGCTGCGTTCTCACTCATTTTTATCTCCAATTCCTCTTCTCGGAAGGAAGGGGCATTGTCGTTAATATCCCTCACCTGTACCTCAACCCCGTATATTTGCACTTTATCCTCCATCAGAATTTCTAGGTTTAACTGACACTTCAGAGCCCCCATACAGAGCTCCTCGCGGTCTAGCCGACCCGCCGTGACCAAGCTGCCGCTGCGCGCGTTCAGAGCGAACAGCTGCGCCCTACCTTGGGAGACGATGCGGACTCCGCGTTCCGCCAGCTCCCGCGGCTTCAGTCCCAAGTCCTTGGAAATATTTCCCACGAAGGAACCTTTCTCCAGTTCTTCGGAAACGGAGTAGCGGATCTGGGTGCAGCCGGCTTCCCATAGGACCCCCAGGACGACTCCCAGCAGGGCCATCCCTTTGCAGTCTCGGTGCCGGTGCTGTAGCGCAGTAGCCATTTTTCACTTTCTCGGAGAATTATTTCCAATTTTGCTCTGGACCACCGAAGTCAGGATCACTTCTTCAGCCCTGGCCTGGAATCGGGCAGCGGGGGGAAGGGTTGCTCCTCAGATTGGCTTTTTCTCTGGGGTGATTCGTTTGCATTGTTCGTGTTTTGTGCTTCAGGCGCAAGCAAAGCGAGCGGGATCGCCGCTTTTTCTCTTCCCGATTGGTGAACAGCGGCGCTCAGAGTCCTAACCAATTACTGCACAATCTTGAATTCCCAGGAAAAGTTTTGTGGTTTTCATACCTTAAATAGCTCCACCTGCTGTTCTTCACATAGAGAAGGAAGATGTAGTTGACTAAACCAAAAAGACCCTAAAATCCTCCATGTAGACCACTTTTGTTGAGATTTTTCTCTGTGTTGTCTGTGTTTTCTGATTTTTCAATCATCTTTTCAGTGAGTTTGAAGTTTTTGGACAGTTTTGACTTGAGATTACTCTCCTAAGCATACCTATGATGAGGGCCAAATCCCCAGGAGTTTCCTATTTTCAGAAATCACATAATAAAGTGATTTACATTTTTTGATTGTGCTATAATTTGGGGGAAATTAAAAAATAGGTTTTATGAATCTAAATGGGAAGATTTTAACAAGTTATTGCCATTTAACACTTAAAAATAAAATTTCATAGTATAGACAGAAAAATGAGAAATGTGACTGAATACACTCTCAGAATCACAGCTGGTAAGAAGTGAGTGAAGAAGACACATGAATATTTTTGAATAAAGTGAAAATATTCCAACTTTTAAGGATCAGAAATAATGGCGACGCTTCCGCAATTCTATTAGTACATCTATTTCAAAATAATGTTTAGTGTTGGGAAAGACTTAGTAAAAGAGAAACAGCAATCCAAAGAATAGCATACATTCCCGGTGTAACTGGCCAAATACCAAAGCTTGAGCATTGCTGTGACTACAATTGCAAGTCCATCAAATGCCGCTTTCATAACTACCCATTGTACTGTCATGAATGTGAATATTTGTATTCTGAGGGTAACCATATATAGCAACCATGAAACAAAATGATACCTTCCAAAGTGAGAGGAACTCTGCAGAAAGTGGTGTGAAAAGATCAGAGACAAAACTGATATACCCAATGAGATTTCAAGATTCCCTTCTAAATTCTCGTAAGGATTGATTCATTATCATACCACTATTTTCAAGATCATTCTCCTGAATTTCCTATTGGTTCACTGATAATGAAAAAACTTCACATTCTAAAAGTATTTATCACCCAAAGACCATCACAGAAGGAAAACAAAATTCACACTACTCAATGAAACGTATTTGCATGGTGGCAGCATGCTAATACTTCTCGGGAAAGTTTTTCTGTTTGTTGCAGTGTGCGTGGATAAAGAGTGGCTCAGGTAAATAGTGAAAACATTACAAAACATCTGAAGCCTACGAGTTTGCCGGTGCATAGAGTAAGGACAGGAAATAGAAAGTGAGACAGAACGAAGAGCAAAGAGGAAGCAATTATTTGTTTAAAATTTTCTTACCAAAATAGAGGTTTGAAAATTAAGCCAAACTATTTCTTGAAGACGTTCTTTGAAACTCACCTCAGTAGAAGCAACAGAGTTAGAGGTTATCTTGTTACTCTCCTCATCGTTTAAGCTAATCACCAAAGAAGCTTGATTAGCAAGATCCTGTGAGGGGACCAGTTCCGGAGTCATGCTGAGAAAATCCAACTTTGTTTTTCGAGAATCAGAAGTAACGCACATATTGTAGGAATAGGGCAAAGTGCCCTCATTGTAGTTGAGAGAACCACCTCGTGTAGCCTTCGAATAGAGACTGGCAGGGCTGGAGGAGCGGCGCAGGCGCAGCGCGATGGCCAGGATCACCGTGAGCAGGAAGAGCACGGAGATGGCGGCCAAGGCCAGCACCAGGTAAAACTGCAGCTCGCCCTGAGGGTCCGAGGGCGCCGCGTGCTCACTCAGGTCCGGCGGCACCTCCTGCAGGCTGTCCGCGAAGACCAGGTGCAGCGTGGCGGTGGCAGACAGCGGCGGCTGGCCGCCATCGCGCACAGCCACCAGCAGGCGCTGGCGGGCCGCGTCCCTGTCGCCCAGGGCGCGCGCTGTGCGCACCTCGCCCGTGCGCAGCCCCAGGCTGAAGAGCCCGGGCTCGCTGGCCTGCAGCACGTGGTACGAGAGCCAGGCGTTGTGGCCAGAGTCGGCGTCCACCGCCACCACCTTGGTGACCAGGTAGCCGGGCTCGGCGGCGCGCGGCACCGTGTCGAAGAGCGCCGAGCCGTCGGGCGCCAGCGCCGGGTACAGCACGCGCGGCGCGTTGTCGTTGCGGTCGCCCACCAGCACGCGCACGCTCACGTTGGCGCTGAGTGCGGGCGAGCCCTGGTCGCGGGCCTGCAGCGTGAGGTGGAAGGCGCGCAGCTGCTCGTGGTCCAGGGCGCGCTGCGCGAACAGCACGCCGCTGTGTGCGCTCACTGACACGTAGGACGCCAGCGTTTGTGCCTCCAGGTCGCTGGCCACGATGGAGTAGGTGACCTGACCATTGGAGCCCAGATCGGGGTCGGAGGCGCTGACCTGCGCGATGGAGGCTCCTGGGGGATTGTTCTCTGCCACGTGGACCACGTAGGAGGGCTGCTGGAAGACAGGCGCGTTGTCGTTGATGTCGCCAATGTGCAGAGTGACACTTGAGCTTGAGGAGAGTGGTGGCTTGCCTCTATCAGTGGCCGTGATGGTGACATTGTACTCAGGGTTCTCCTCTCGATCTAGAGGCCCATCTGTTACAATCTTGTAGTAATTATTGGCGGAAGATTGGATTCTAAAAGGAACTTTTTCTTTTATGAAGCATGTGACTTCTCCATTTTCTCCAGAATCCTTGTCCTGTGTTTTGAACAGAGCGATCACCATCCCGGGGTTTGCGTCCTCTGTTATAGAACTGGACACGGAAGTGAAAACCACTTCAGGGGCGTTGTCGTTCTCATCTAGAATCTCTACTTGGATTTCGCATTCTGCCGCCATGCCCCCACCGTCCTTTGCTTCCACAGTCATTGTATAGCTGCTACTCGTTTCAAAGTCTATGGAGTCTTTAGTTTGCACTTCTCCAGTTTGGGAGTCTATGGTAAACATGTGCCCAATATCATCTCGCAGGGACTTGAAGGCGTAAGTGATCTCCGCATTGCTGCCTTCATCCTGGTCAGTGGCTCTCACCTGGACCACAGCTGTGCCTCTGGGAAGGTTTTCCCTAAGGCTGACCTTGTATACATCCTGGCTGAATACTGGGGCATTATCGTTGGCGTCAATGACCTTGATGTGAATCTGAGCAGTGCCTGTTAGGGCCGGTTTGCCCCCATCCACTGCTGTCAGAACCAGGAGGTGAGGGCTCTGTTGTTCTCTATCCAGAGGCTTCTCCAACAATAGTTCTGGAGCATTCTTGCCTTCAGCCTTGTCCTTCACCATTAAAGAGAAGTGCTTATTGGAGCTGAGTTGGTAACTCTGAAGGGAGTGGAGCCCTACATCGGCATCTATAGCAGATTCCAGACCAAACCGAGTGCCTGGGGTTGCAAGTTCGCTGATCTGCAAAGCGATGCTATTCTGTGGGAAGTAGGGTGGGTTATCATTTATATCTTCTATCATCACATTTATGTGAAAAATATTTAGAGGATTTTCTGCTACAATTTCTAAGGGCACAACACACAGCGGGTTTTGGGAACAGAGCGCTTCCCGATCTATCCTGTCACTCACAAGTATGTTCCCGTTTTCCACGTTCACAGTGAAGTATGGTTTCTCTGCACTGACTCTGAGATTGCGGGTCACTACATCGCGAACCTGCAGCTTCAGGTCCTCAGCGAGGTTCCCTACCACCGAGCCCCTGGGCATTTCTTCCGGAATCGAGTAGCGGATCTGCTCAGCGGAGACAGCCCCACAGAACAAAGGCAGCAGTAAGGGAAAGAGTACTTGCCGCCGCCGCCGCCGCAGCCGCCGCTCAGGGCCGCTCCTCTCTTTCGTCCTATTTCCCATTCTTCTGCGTTGCTTCAGCCTCGGAAACTCAAAAGACGGCGCTTCACTCCATAGACGATCCGAGCTTCCCAAGTTAGGGTTATTTTAAGTCGTAGGAAATCAGATTTGTCCGCAGAAAGCCCGAATCCCGGCGACTCTTCGAGATTCTAAGTTGCTTCTGTGCGCGGAGTAGCTCCCGGGAGGATCGCGGCTCGAGCTCTTGCAGCGCATTGGTCAACAGCGGCGCTCGGAGTCCATTTAGAAAACTGCAGTCAGAAGGTTTTGCAAATTCAACCGGGCTTGGTAGTCCAACACATATGTTGGACAAATGTATGCACAATTAGGCAGTTCACGAGCTCTGAGTGTGTGTATTTTCCAACGTTTCCCACCAAGGAGGGTGCTTTGGACATGGGCCCATATAGAAGAGCCATTAACCCAGAATGAGAGGTTAGTCTTTTTCTAATCATAGGCAATGCACACATGGGAAAAGCCAGTTTTCTCTCCAAATACAGCACCAAGACCACGTGAAAAATTGCCCCACCAGGTGGTATGGGGAAATTATGATAGGGAGCAAATGACATCTGGATTATCTTCAAGCTGATGAGCAGATAACTTTCCTCCTTTTATCAAAGCTACACACGGCACACTGAGAATAGACACAGCCAACACCATAATATATTCCTTGTTACTTAGAGATCTGTGACGATTAATCAAGTATTCTATATTTTCAACATGAATAGAATGTAAAAGTAATGCTTAATAGGTTGCCACAGGACATTAACGGCATGGAGTGGGAAGCTGGACTTATGTCCTCAACAGAACTTTATCATTCCCTGAGTCAAAAGAACCCTCTAAATGCCAGGCTTCAAAATCAACCCTTCCTTTTTGTTCTCCAAGGCTTTTTCTCCCCCTCCTAACTAGTTTTGAATAGTTTAGTGCTTAGAAAACCATTTTCTAGACGTCAAGACAAACTCAGGTATCTGTCAGAAGAACTCTCTTTCCTAGAGTTAAAACTCTTTGTGCCCAAGCTCTAGATATTCATTACGTAGCTAATTATACTAGGTCAATTACCAAATAAGAAGCATACACTCAAGATGGAACATGGATCTGCAGGTCATCTAAGTCCAATACCTAGAAGTGATGAGAGTGCTGAGCTGAGTGGAGCAGGAAAATTGCCTTGCCCCAGGTAAGTCTCCTTTGTTCACCCGCGTTCCCAGACACCATGTCATCGATGTGGTTAGGTAACTATCAAGCCATCCATAACACGTATGTTTGAATAGAATTGAGTATCCTTCTATGTACTACAACAAGAGTCTGTGAAGGAAAGAGAGGAGGAATCGATGACTTCTAGGAATTCTGACAAAGAGCCAGAAACATCCAGGAGCTACGAGCTAAATCAGCCTGAAGGTTTAGCTCCATCTTTAATACTCATTTTCTGTACAAACCTGAAAAGTATAGGCATCTTCAGAAGATTTTAAAATAAATTTTTTGAGAAGCATTGGATTAAAACTTCATTCTGCATGTGATTTTATGGCATTAACCAGTCGTCTGCACAGACACTAATGTTAAAAAAAAAATTAAGAAATGTTCTTTCAGGGCCCGGCGCGGAGATGCAAGTGGTTAAGGTCCTCGCCTTGCATGCCCGGAATCCCATATGGGCACCGGTTCTAATTCTGGCAGCCCCGCTTCCCTTCCAGCTCCCTGCCTGTGGCCTGGGAAAGCAGTCGAGGACGGCCTAAGGCTTTGGGACACTGCACCCGCGTAGGAGACCCAGAGGAGGCTCCTGGCTTTGGATCGGCACAGCATCAGCCGTTGCGCTCACTTGGGGAGTGAATCATCAGACGGAAGATCTTCCTCTCTGTCTCTCCTCTCTGTATATCCACCTTTCCAATAAAAAAATAATAAAAAATAAATCTTAAAAAAAAGAAATGTTCTTTCAGAATAGTGACTTCACAATAGAAACAAAAAATCATAACTAGGGCTTGATTCAGTAGCCTAGTGGCTAAAGTCCTCATCTTGCACATACCAGGATGCCATATGGGTATGGGTTCTAATCCTGGTGGCTCCACTTCCCATTCAGCTCCCTGCTTGTGGTCTGGGAAAGCAGTCGAGGACGGCCCAAAGCCTTGGGACCCTGCACCCATTTGGGAGACCTGAAGGAGGCTCTGGGCTCCTGTCTTCAGATCAGTGCAGCACCAGCCATTGTGGCCATTTGGGGAGTGAATCAATGGATGGAAGATCTTCCTTTCCATTTCTCCTCTGTATATATCTGACTTTCCAATAAAAAATAAATCTTTTTAAAAATCAAGTGTTAGATGATGGTTTGTGAATTTAAAATATTTTTCAAGAAATAAATAGATAACTAGGCATTAGAAAAATATTATCTGCATTCCTGACTCCAAAACATCCAGCAATTAAAAGCCAGTCAATACATCATTTGAATAGCATGAAGCAATAAACAATGTTGAAATCTAAACGTTACTAATCATCAAGAATCAATAGAATTATCTCATGCTCAGCTTATAGACACTCTGTGTGTGGGTAGGTTAATGAAAATGAGAGCAAGAGCGAGAGGCTATGAATCAACAGAATGACAATTGAGCATCCAAAGTAGCAGTAAACAATGGTAGAATAGAACTGTAAACCAGCAAGGCTGGAATTGGCAAATAGCTGCAACCATTTGTGAATCAGTTTGAATCACAGTCAATTTACACAAAAGACTACAGACATTGATGAAAGAAAAATAATACTAAAATTCAAGTTCCTACAAAGCAAGATAGCTTAACTGTTTACTTGAAATCAAAAGGAAATATGCCGCGACTTCACAAAAGGCATTCACCACTGAGGGACGATGGGAATGATCTGGTGAAGGGAAGTCTCCACACAAGCACCTAATATTCTAAATACGTATGGAAAAAGCAAGACCTGGGAAGCTAACTTTCAGGAACAGGTTCAGGAAATAAAGCCCCCTACAAGGTTTGTGCCAGTACACCAGCAACAAGGAGATAAATAAAACTCACCTCAATATTTATCGGATCACATTTGCCTAAAACAGTAGCTGAGTCTTCGGCTATTAAGAGAGGCTCGCTTTTCCCACAGCTCTCCTGGCTGAGCAGCGTGTCTGCATAGTTGGGCTGAGGGAAGATGAGGTGGCTCCTCCGCGAGTCCGCGGTCAGGGACACCTCATGAGAATAGGTCTGCAGGAAAGCACGCACCCCGTCCACGCCCACCAAGTGCGACGCGGCCACGCCCGACAGCCCGCCTCCTCCTGACGCCTGCAGCAATCGCGACTTGTGCCAGCGCCTCAGCCTGAGTGCCAGCAGCACAATCACAAAGGCCAGGAAGACACACGACACTGTGGCCACTGCCACCACCAGGTACAGAGTCAGGTCTGCCTCATCAGCTTCCACTGAAGGCTTCAGGCTGCCCAGGTCAGCCAGCACTGCGGGGATGCTGTCAGCCACGGCCACTGTGAGCGTGACAGTGGCCGAGAGAGGCGGCTGCCCGTGGTCCTGGACAGCCACCACCAGGCTCTGCTTCAGTGCATCTCTGTCCAGCAGGGCCCGTGCTGTGCGCACCTCGCCCGTGTGCAGCCCCACAGAGAACAGCCCTGGCTCGCTGGCCTTGAGCAGCCGGTAGGACAGCCAGGCATTCTGGCCAGAGTCCCTGTCCACTGCCACCACCTTGGTCACCAGATAGCCAGGTTCTGCGGAGCGTGGTGCCAGCTCCACGCCTGTGGATCCATCGGTGGGGAGGGTGGGGTAGAGGATCTCAGGGGCATTGTCGTTCTGGTCCAGTACAAAGAGGGTGAGGGAGGCATTGCTGCTGAGAGGTGGGTTCCCACTGTCACGTGCCACCACTTGCAGATGCAGGTCTCGGAACTGCTCATAGTCGAAGGATCGCAGTGCATACAGGACACCAGTGTTGGAATTGATGGACACATAGGAGGACAGAAGTACCCCTTGGACGGTGTCTTCAGTTAGAGAGTAAGTAACCTGTGAGTTCTCTTTGCTGTCTGAGTCAAGGGCAGTCACGGAGAAAATGGAGGCTCCTCTGTGGTTGTTTTCTGGAATGTAAGCTGAATAAGAGGAAGTAGAGAAAACTGGAGGGTTGTCGTTGTCGTCTGCCACATTCAGTGTGATGTAAGTTTCTGAGGACAAGGGTGGACTGCCGTGGTCCCGGGCGGTCAACGTTATGTTGTAGCTCTCGACCAGTTCCCTGTCCAGCTCTCTGCCTGTTACCAGCTTGTAATAATTTCCGTAAGTCTTTTCTAACTTAAAAGGTAGATTGTTGGGAATGAAACAGGAGACCTGACCGTTTTCTCCAGAATCTTGATCTTGCACTTTCAAAAGAGCAATCACAGTACCAGGAGGAGAATTTTCCAGCACTGAGGTTGTAGCAGAGGTGACAGTTATTTCCGGAGCGTTATCATTCACATCCACGACTGTGATCACCACATTGGCTGTGGCCAAAAGACCTCCCCCATCTTGGCCTTGAACTTCCATCTCATAAGATGGGTATTTTTCAAAATCCAGAGAACTCTGAAGCAGAACCTCTCCAGTTTGAGAATTCAACTGGAATAACTCAGAAGCTTTGCTCTTCACATTCCGGAAGGAATACAGCACCTGCCCATTGGTCCCCTCATCTGGATCCGTTGCGTTTACTGCCAGCACTCGTGTTCCAGAGCTGAGGTTTTCGGGAACACTCACTCGGTACACGGACTGTGTGAACTTGGGGATGTGGTCATTCACGTCGAGGACCACCACCCGCACAGGAATGACGCCCTGGCGCACGGGGTCCCCTCCATCCAAGGCTGTGAGCTGTAGCAGGTGGGTGGCCTCTCTCTCGCGGTCCAGGGTTCCCTCCAGCACCAGCTCCGGGTTCTTGGCCCCACTGGTTTCGCCTCTCACTTGCAGGGTAAAGTAGCCATTGGGACTGAGCTGGTAGCTCTGGAGGGAATTCACCCCCACATCGGGATCCCTGGCGCTGGGAAGGGGAAACCGCGATCCAGGGGCTGCATGCTCGCCGACTTTTATCTCTACTTCCTCTTCCTGGAAGCTGGGGGCATTATCATTAATATCCAGTATTTCCACCTCCACTCCGTAAATCTTCAAAGTGTCTTTAACGAGAATCTCTAAATTTAAAAAGCAGGAGGACACCGTCTCGCAGAGTTCCTCCCTGTCTATCCTGCCCGCCGTGACCAAGACGCCGCCTCGCGGACTCAGAGCGAACAGCTGCGCCCTACCTTGGGAGACGATGCGGACTCCGCGCTCCGCCAGCTCCCGCGGCTCCAGCCCCAGGTCCTGGGCGATGTTACCCACCAAGGAGCCTTTTTCCAGCTCTTCAGGCACCGAGTAGCGGATCTGCCCGGCCCCAAACTCCTGCAGCGTGCCCAGGAAGACGCACAGCAGGACCAGCGCGCTGCGGTTCCTGCACTGTGGCCGATTCTCCATAGCCAGGTCGGAGCCCGTATTCCGTGGTTTTTTGAGCCGGTTTGTTCCGAATTAGCTTTTGTACTTGTGAGCTCTCGGGCCGTCCGCATCCAAAATATATCAGAAGGAAAGTACTTCCAAGTTTCCGGCATCAGGATCCGTGAGTATCCATCTCTTTCTCGGCTTTGTTTGGTCGAGGTGGGGAAGGGAGGGGATCCGCAGCGCGCAGCTTCCCATTCCCTGCCTGGTGAACAGCGGCGCCCAGAGCCCACTCTTAAGATTGCAAGGACTAAAAACCCAGAGTGCTGGCCCCACAAGAAATAATTACTCACCTTTTTGTGAATCACAATTATGTGTAAAAGCTCAAAACGGCAAATAATCGTTATATAGAGTGACGTAAAAAGTATTCTGAGTTCTTATGATTGCAGTAATTACTAAGAGGTCTTGTTTTTTAAAGAGTTTTGAAACATAAATGGAATTGCAAACCCGCGGAGTAGATTCAGTTCTAATAGACATTTACCGATAGCAGGTATAGCATTTGTCGGTGTAGAAATATCACAATTTTCAAAAAATTATCAGGTAGGCTGCATGGCAATTATCCTTACCAATGTGTTTTGAGTAAAAGAAACAGTTTGAGAAAAAAACCGGACACCATTAGGGTTGTCGTTTATGATGCCCTGATATAAAAATATTACTGTCTTTCACATCCTTAACTAGTATTTTATAACATGAATAATTTGAAATTTTCTACATATTTTTACCTTGAAATACCATTGATGTGTAAGAGGATTGAAAACATTGCATATTTTTACCAACGATGCCTACAGGTATCAAGAGTTGCTTTAAAATCTTAACAAAGAAGTTATCTAAGGTCTTGGAAGAGCAGTGTTAAATTGAAATGCATTGGTGTTATTGGAATATAACAAACATTAAATTAAACACATATACGTACCTGTTCAGTAGTTTCCTTATCTGATTCAGCACTGGGAGCTAAAATGCTAGCCAACAGTACGGAAGAACTATCTTTGTTGAGAATATCTTGAGCGGCAGGGCAGTGATCAACAGATGTGAGAAAATTAAATTCTGCATGAGTTTGATCCCCAGATACGCAAAAATTATAGGCATAGGGTAATGTTCCATCACAGTAGGATCGGGAAACTCCTGACTTTGAGCATGCAACAGGCTGGAAGCAGCCTCCCATTGCGGAGCTGGAGGAGCGGCGCAGGCGCAGCGCGATGGCCAGGATCACCGTGAGCAGGAAGAGCACGGAGATGGCGGCCAAGGCCAGCACCAGGTAAAACTGCAGCTCGGCCTGAGGGTCCGAGGGCGCCGCGTGCTCACTCAGGTCCGGCGGCACCTCCTGCAGGCTGTCCGCGAAGACCAGGTGCAGCGTGGCGGTGGCAGACAGCGGCGGCTGGCCGCCATCGCGCACAGCCACCAGCAGGCGCTGGCGGGCCGCGTCCCTGTCGCCCAGGGCGCGCGCTGTGCGCACCTCGCCCGTGCGCAGCCCCAGGCTGAAGAGCCCGGGCTCGCTGGCCTGCAGCACGTGGTACGAGAGCCAGGCGTTGTGGCCGGAGTCGGCGTCCACCGCCACCACCTTGGTGACCAGGTAGCCGGGCTCGGCGGCGCGCGGCACCGTGTCGAAGAGCGCCGAGCCGTCGGGCGCCAGCGCCGGGTACAGCACGCGCGGCGCGTTGTCGTTGCGGTCGCCCACCAGCACGCGCACGCTCACGTTGGCGCTGAGTGCGGGCGAGCCCTGGTCGCGGGCCTGCAGCGTGAGGTGGAAGGCGCGCAGCTGCTCGTGGTCCAGGGCGCGCTGCGCGAACAGCACGCCGCTGTGTGCGCTCACTGACACGTAGGACGCCAGCGTTTGTGCCTCCAGGTCGCTGGCCACGATGGAGTAGGTGACCTGACCATTGGAGCCCAGATCGGGGTCGGAGGCGCTGACCTGCGCGATGGAGGCTCCTGGGGGATTGTTCTCTGCCACGTGGACCACGTAGGAGGGCTGCTGGAAGACAGGCGCGTTGTCGTTGATGTCGCCAATGCGCAGGGTGAAGACTGAACTGGAGGAGAGTGGTGGCTTGCCTCTGTCAGTGGCCGTGATGGTGACATTGTACTCCGGGGTCTGCTCGCGGTCCAGGGCCCCGTCGGTTACTAGCTTGTAGTAATTACTGGAAGAAGAATGAATCTTAAATGGAACATCTTTGCTTAAACTACAAGTGACTTCTCCATTTTCCCCCGAATCTCGGTCTCGTGTTTTGAAAAGAGCCACAACCATTCCGGTGGGAGAATCCTCCAGAACCCGGTCGGACAGAGAAGTGATGATGATTTCCGGGCTGTTGTCGTTTTCGTCTAGGATTTCTACGATGACTTTACACTGCGTGGAGAGACCTCCTTTGTCCCTTGCTTCTACATCCAGTGTGTATTTTTCTACTTCCTCGAAGTCCAGTGGCTGCTGAGTTAGAATGTTTCCAGTGGCGGGCTCTAGAGAGAACACCTGCTGGGCATGGTCAACCACTCCTAGGAAGGAGTAAGAGACCTCCGCATTGCTGCCTTCATCCTGGTCAGTGGCCCTGACCCTCAGAATGGAGGTGCCAGGTGGCACGTCTTCCCGGAGGCTGACCCTGTACACGTCCTGGCTGAACATCGGAGGATTGTCGTTGGCGTCCACCACCAGGACTTGGATCTGCACGGTGCCGCTTCGGGGCGGGTCCCCGCCGTCTACTGCCGTCAGCACCAGGTGGTGAACGCTCTGCGTTTCTCGGTCCAGGGCCTTTTGCAGCACTAATTCTGGGGATTTGCCACCATCTGGGTTATCTTTCACCACCAAGGAGAAAAACTCATTCGGAATTAGTTGGTATTTGCTTAGTGAGTTCTTACCAATGTCGGGATCTTTTGCAGACTCAAGAACTGTTCTCATGCCCAGGCTGACGGATTCGCTTATTTCTAAAGTTATTTTATCTTTACTGAACTGAGGAGCATGGTCGTTAATGTCCTCAATCACCACAACGACATGAAAAACATTCAGAGGGTTTTCCACCACAGCTTCCAGCTGCAGCTCACACAGCTTTCGCTCTTTGCAGATCTGCTCGCGGTCTATTCGGTCCTTCACAAGCAAGTCCCCGCTCTGCGCGTCTACCTGGAAGTGCAGGCTCTCGGCGCTAACGCGCAGCTTCCGAGCAGACACATCCCGCACACTGAGCGCCAGGTCCTTGGCCAGGTTCCCCACCACCGAGCCCCTGGCCAGCTCCTCGGGGATAGAGTAGCGGATCGGCTCGCCGAGCGCGGGGCAGAACAAAGGCAGCAGGAAGGGGAGGAGTACCTGTGGCCGGCCGGCTCGGCGCCTCTGCGCGCAGCTCCCTCCCATCGCTCGCGCTAGTGCTGGCTTGCTCCGCGTCTTCCTGGCTGGAGACCGTGCATTCGGCCCCGGAGCGGCAGAGCCCTTGTCTCGGGGCTGGGGATCCTTCTGTGCCGAGCAGGGTGTGAGCATCCGGGAGCTCTGGTAGTGCGAGAGGGTTCCCTTCTGTTTGCTTTGGTGGCAGTGAGGAACTCCGGGGTTGGAGGCTGAGGACGCCGGGCGTCCGCGCTCTCTCTGCACTGGCCGACAGCGGCGCCCAGAGGCTCCATGTGGAACTGCATTTTCGTCTTTTTCCCTAACCTTCTTTAGGGAATCTTCATTTTTGAAGTTGATAGCCAAAATATTTGAATCTCACACTGTAGTGATTCCGCTTTTATCATGAAACTCATATTTATGTAGCTAAAGCTATCATTATTATAGATTTTATATTAAAATTGACTTTAAGTAGATGAAAGCATTTCTTTGGAAATTAAAAAAGGCACAAAGGAATATACAGCAAGGGATCTGCAGGTTTCCTATCCCAGCACCCACTGCTATTCAATCTCTCCATCAAGACCGTATCACCGTATCACCGTTGCTCCCCTTAAGAGTAACTACCATGGAACTGGAAGTATTGAAGATAAATTTGGTCTTCCATATTAGCCTAGGAAGTGGTTTCTTTCCTTCCCTGTTTATATAGCTGCATGAATTCATTACCACAGTTGTAAATCTTACAAGATTGCCACATTGCTTTAAACTATGTATGTCTGAAAACATTTGCTTACAAGAGCTGCAATATCACAAGTGTTTTTAAAAAATATTATGTCAAAATAGGATTGAGAGGGATGCATAGCAATTTTGACTCTAACAGAAACTTAATAATTTTAGGCATTTGATAGTTAATTATGACTCTAAAAAGTTTGTTCCCCCAGACTTATGATCGACTAAATGTTGACTGACTTTAATGAAAATCATGGTCTCCTCCTGGTACTTTGAGACAGTTGGAAGCCTCTACCAAGTTTAGTGGACACCTCATTGTATCAATGTTAATGAGATATTACCATAAATTACCACATCACTGTCTTCACTGGACTGAATGGACTCCTCAGTGCCTTCACTGACTATCTGTTTACAACAGTTTTGAGCTTGTTGCAAAAACTGCATTTTTCTTTTAAATCTTGGTTTGTTTTGACTTTCAGTTTGAGTTCTTAGAACTTCAGCTGGGTTTTCCTTCTGTGATATTATCAAGTCATCAAAATACACTTGCCACACCACAACGTCTGCCTCCTGTTCTTGAGAACATGTACAAATGCATTGCTCAATTCAATTCTTACCCATCTTCAGCCAAAGGGATTTGAGAGTTTAAGAAAAGCAACAAAGTGAACAGAGCTCAAAACTCCCTTACTTTCTCTATAGATTAAGCAAGGAAAGTCCAATTAAAATGCTGTATCTATCAGCAGCATGAAATTAGAGAAAATTAAAAGAATGCTACAGTGTTCCCGCGTATGATTACAGCTGAAAAAAATTGTATAGTTGCTAACTGAGTAGTAAAGAATGTGTAAGATCTCTCTAGGAAATGTATTCAACTCCAACCACCACAGAGTACAATGTGAAGAATACCAGCAGGACTACAAGGCATACTGAGAAGAGCACAGAGCAACCATTTGTTGACTTGGGTTTCCAGTGAGGTGTTAATGACATTTACCTACTACCACCAGTTTGCCTTCAAGGTAAGAGCTAGGCTGTTTAAGGGGCCATGGTGTCGGCACGTGGTCACCCAGAAGAACACACAAACTGACAGGCACTCCTACATGGAAAGCAATTTTAGGGCCTGTTTGCATTCATTACACTATACAACAGATGAGTCTGCAAAGCTAAATGTAAGAGCTTTAAGACTACAGGCCTTCATGAAAACTAGGTATGTTCGATCAGAAAGAAGTGTTTTTTGTTTTTTTTGTTTGTTTGTTTTTGTTTTTTTTTAAAGATTCCCCCTTAAACATCAAATTCTACCCTTCAACATTTAAGGAAAATACAATCACTGAAACAAAAAGTGTTAAAAAATAAAGACTAAAACATCATCATGCTGCAAATCTAAAAGCAAAACCAAACATCCTGTTGCAAACGTAACAGTAAAAATTGAACTCACTGGAACCAGTGGAGCATCTTCTATAGGACACTTCGACTCATTTAGCAAAGACAAAGGCTCGCTTTTCCCACAGCTCTCCTGGCTGAGCAGCGTGTCTGCATAGTTGGGCTGAGGGAAGATGAGGTGGCTCCTCCGCGAGTCCGCGGTCAGGGACACCTCATGAGAATAGGTCTGCAGGAAAGCACGCACCCCGTCCACGCCCACCAAGTGCGACGCGGCCACGCCCGACAGCCCGCCTCCTCCTGACGCCTGCAGCAATCGCGACTTGTGCCAGCGCCTCAGCCTGAGTGCCAGCAGCACAATCACAAAGGCCAGGAAGACACACGACACTGTGGCCACTGCCACCACCAGGTACAGAGTCAGGTCTGCCTCATCAGCTTCCACTGAAGGCTTGAGGCTGCCCAGGTCAGCCAGCACTGCGGGGATGCTGTCAGCCACGGCCACTGTGAGCGTGACAGTGGCCGAGAGAGGCGGCTGCCCGTGGTCCTGGACGGCCACCACCAGGCTCTGCTTCAGTGCATCTCTGTCCAGCAGGGCCCGTGCTGTGCGCACCTCGCCCGTGTGCAGCCCCACAGAGAACAGCCCTGGCTCGCTGGCCTTGAGCAGCCGGTAGGACAGCCAGGCATTCTGGCCAGAGTCCCTGTCCACTGCCACCACCTTGGTCACCAGATAGCCAGGTTCTGCAGAGCGTGGTGCCAGCTCCACGCCTGTGGATCCATCAGTGGGGAGGGTGGGGTAGAGGATTTCAGGGGCATTATCATTCTGGTCCAGCACAAAGAGGGTGAGGGAGGCATTGCTGCTGAGAGGTGGGTCCCCACTGTCACTGGCTGTCACCCAGAGCTGCAGGTCTCGGAACTGTTCATAGTCAAAAGATCTCAATGCGTACAGGATGCCGTTGTCGGAGTTGATGGAGATGTAGGAAGACAAGGGCGCCCCCTGGATGGTGTCTTCAGTGATTGAGTAAATTACTTGGGCATTCTCTTTGCTGTCTGGATCCAAAGCTGTCACAGAGAAGATGGAGGCGCCCCTGGGGTTGTTTTCTGGGATATAGGTAAAGTAGGAGGTGCGAGAGAAGCTGGGCGGGTTATCATTAATATCTGCCACTTGCAGAGTAAAATGAGTTTCTGTTGATAGAGGTGGACTTCCCCCGTCTCTGGCTGTCACTGTTATGTTGTAGGAGGATGTCTGTTCCCTGTCCAGGGCGGTGTGTGTCACCAATCTGTAGTAACTATCGATGGACTTCTCTAATTTAAATGGTAGATTTTCTTGGATTGAACAGGTCACCAGTCCGTTCTGCCCAGAGTCTAAATCATGCACATTCAAAAGGGCTATGACAGTTCCAGGAGGAGAGTCCTCGGCCACTGGGCTGAACAGAGATGTGACGGTCACCTCTGGACTGTTGTCATTTACATCTTCCAATGTAATTAGCACCTTTGCAGTGGCGAGATAGGCTCCTCCATCTTCTGCTTGTATTTCTAGTTCATAGAAGCCTGCTTCTTCATAATCTAGATTTTCTGATATTTTTATTTCCCCAGTATGTCTATTTAGTTGGAATTTCAACAGCTGAGTGTCAGATAATCTTCGGAATGAGTATGTCACTTCCCCATTGGCTCCTTCGTCCTTGTCGGTGGCAGTCACGGTGAGCAGCTGAGTGCCCACAGGCAAATTCTCGGGGACACTCACTCGGTACTCAGGCACAGTGAAGACAGGTGCGTTGTCGTTGGTATCGAAGACTGTCACACTGATGAGGACAGTGCCAGATCGGACGGGGTCACCCCCGTCGGAGGCGGTGAGGACCAGGTGGTGAATGGCCTCTTCCTCTCGATCTAGAGCTCGCTCCAGTACCAGCTCTGGGTACTTGGCACCATTGGCACGACTCTGAACTGCCAGGGAAAAGTGCTGATTGGAGCTGAGCTGGTAGCTCTGCAGGGAGTTCACTCCCACATCGGGATCAACAGCTTCCAGGAGAGGAAAGCGCATCCCAGGAGCGACATTCTCATTAATTTTTACTTCCAAGGTCTCCGCTTGGAATTTCGGGGCATTATCATTGATATCAATAACCTCTATTTCAATTCCAAAAAGTTTCACTCTATCCTCATCCAGGATGTTAATATTCAGCAGGCACCGCGCGCTCTGAGCGCAGAGCTCCTCGCGGTCTACCCTGCCCGCCGTGACCAAGCTGCCGCTGCGCGCGTTCAGAGCGAACAGCTGCGCCCTACCTCGGGAGACGATGCGGACTCCGCGCTCCGCCAGCATCCGCGGCTCCAGCCCCAGGTCCTTGGAGATATTCCCCACGAAGGAGCCCTTCTCCAGCTCCTCAGGAACGGAGTAGCGGATCTGTCGAGCTCCGCAGTCCCACGGCATCCAGAAGAAAAGGAAGAGAAGGACCAGCGCGCTGTGTTCAGAGAGATTCCTTTCAGTGGCCATTGTTGTTTGGTGGCAGAATCCTCACCAAATCTTCTTTTAATGCGTTCAATATTTCAAACGCTTCCTTTTCCTTTCGGTGGCTGCCCGTGCCCCTTAAACCCCAGGATCAGTTCTGCTGCAGCCCTGAGCCGATCTGTACGAACCCGGAGCTTTGTGTCGTCAGAGTCCTGAGAAGCGGGTTTGAGAGCCGACAGCATTTCTCTCCTAGTAGGCCAACAGCGGCGCCCAGAGTCCTAAGAAGTTACTGCACCCACCACAGAGTTCTTGCAACGCAACGCAAATGCTGCCTTCTCTTCCTTCAGATTGTTTTAATTTATATTGATTATTTGGTTTCCTCGCTCATATACTTATTTAATCGCTATTTTTAGGTTTCTTAGTGGGGTGGGATATAATGGAATGAAAATAGTATAAAATATTCAAGTGATAATATTTGTTTAAATTTATATTTGCAGCATATTTTCCTAAAAAAAAAATGCACGCACTTGGGAAGGTAAACAATGCTTATTTTTATATCCTATGAGCTTTTAGCTAGTCAGTAAGTTTTACACCTTTATCTGAAATTGTGATTTAAATGGTAAGTTTAGTGTACATTTCTATAGAAACTATATTACATATATCCCTTATTAAATCACTGTGAAGTAACTTTTATATACTTAATATTCTTAGCTTGATATTATGCAAGAGATTTAATAATCTTTATTTCCAAAAATAGATTTGCTGATCCTAAATTAAACCTTTATTTTTGAAAAAAAATATAGTTTTTCTTATAGTTTTATCAGGAGTTATTTTGACCTATTTAAATGAATTGGGCAAGTAATCACAAGCTACCACATGTCACAGACACAAACTAAAATGCATTATAAAAAATAAAAATGGCATTGTAGTGGAAATAAATATGTATAAGAAATTTAATTGCTAAAATGGACATGTAATATCACAGGTTTCAAGAATTCTTATGTCAGTGGTTGATCCTATCAGGGCATTGATTCATGGAAATGCTTTCATCCCTTCGGCAGTTTGTAGGCACCTACAGCAGCTCACACATCTTCCCCTGCTATGCCTTCCAACCCAACGGCCGCCCATTGCTCAAATGGGAGGGCTTCGGAGAGCTCGGAGAGAACAGGTATTGAGGAGTGCTCACAGCACCATGCTCCCAAGAATGGAATATTTCAGAGATTCTACTTTTCCCCTTCAGAGATCTTAAGTCAAAGGCAGAGACAGAGGCTGAGAGCAAAGCCAACGCAATTCGTTGGCTTTCTTGAAAATTTCTTTTTCTTATCAGTAGCGCAAGAGAGACCGAGAAAGAGTATGCCTTGAACTCCAAAAATTATAGGGACCAGAAATACAGAAGGAAGACATTAGGACCAAAAAGTAGAGAAGATAAATCTTCTGAGGGTGGTTGGTATGAAGTTTTGGGGACCACAGAAGTCTTTCAAATCTGAACACAGGTTGGAATCTTCTCCTGAGAGAAAACGCACACCTACATGCTCTCCACACAATTTTAGAGTTGGAAGATGTACTGCTTGTTTCCTTCTGAGATCAATAGTTTGGAAAAAATGAGGCAAGACACATAGACACCTAAGAGAGTATTTGCAATTACAACTTCTAAGAAAAGGACTCCTGCTATGATATCTAATGCACATTTGCATATTTTAACTGTAAAAACATAAGCAACATTTGTAAAGTTTATATGAAAGCTTATTAACGTTGAGTATATAGGTTATTTATATTTGGTTGGGAGACAACACTATCACTTGTGTTTGACAATCAGAGTTTAAGATTATTTGCAATTGAGATACCTTCTTACCAAATTATAGAGCAACTTACTAACCAAATTCAGCTTGGATGCCAGCTTTGTGCTAATGTAAACCCTCACAGCACTGTAGTCTCAGGTTGCTGGCTTCCTACCGCCCACGTGGGAGACCTGAATTAAATTCCAGATTCTGACTCCTACCCTGCTCGACCTCAGAACGGAGCATTTGGGGAGAGAAGCAGCAGAAGGGAAAGTTCTGAGAACCAGCAGAGGGGACACAGCACTCCTTTTCCCTTTGATTTTTTCTCCCTTCTTTTTAAAAATATACATTTAAAAGAAGAAAATATCATTACTGATATAAAAATAGCTACGCTTGAGATATTATAAATAAAACAATATTAAACACACACACACACACACACACACAGAGGTAACTCACCGGTGTTAGAGTCTCTGGTTCAGGCGTGAATCCATCCCCATCATGAACTGGAATTAAGGCTCCAGGAGAATCACTAAAAACTACATCTTGAGTGGAATGCAAAGCCGCACTATATTTTAGGAAATTAAACTCTGCCGTACCTGTGTGTGTATGACACATATTGTAGGAATAAGGTAAAGTCCCCTCGATAAAGTTTGGGGCAATTCCATTCCCAGGCTTTGAGCATATAACGGACCCAAAGCAGCCTCCCATTGCGGAGCTGGAGGAGCGGCGCAGGCGCAGCGCGATGGCCAGGATCACCGTGAGCAGGAAGAGCACGGAGATGGCGGCCAAGGCCAGCACCAGGTAAAACTGCAGCTCGGCCTGAGGGTCCGAGGGCGCCGCGTGCTCACTCAGGTCCGGCGGCACCTCCTGCAGGCTGTCCGCGAAGACCAGGTGCAGCGTGGCGGTGGCAGACAGCGGCGGCTGGCCGCCATCGCGCACAGCCACCAGCAGGCGCTGGCGGGCCGCGTCCCTGTCGCCCAGGGCGCGCGCTGTGCGCACCTCGCCCGTGCGCAGCCCCAGGCTGAAGAGCCCGGGCTCGCTGGCCTGCAGCACGTGGTACGAGAGCCAGGCGTTGTGGCCAGAGTCGGCGTCCACCGCCACCACCTTGGTGACCAGGTAGCCGGGCTCGGCGGCGCGCGGCACCGTGTCGAAGAGCGCCGAGCCGTCGGGCGCCAGCGCCGGGTACAGCACGCGCGGCGCGTTGTCGTTGCGGTCGCCCACCAGCACGCGCACGCTCACGTTGGCGCTGAGTGCGGGCGAGCCCTGGTCGCGGGCCTGCAGCGTGAGGTGGAAGGCGCGCAGCTGCTCGTGGTCCAGGGCGCGCTGCGCGAACAGCACGCCGCTGTGTGCGCTCACTGACACGTAGGACGCCAGCGTTTGTGCCTCCAGGTCGCTGGCCACGATGGAGTAGGTGACCTGACCATTGGAGCCCAGATCGGGGTCGGAGGCGCTGACCTGCGCGATGGAGGCTCCTGGGGGATTGTTCTCTGCCACGTGGACCACGTAGGAGGGCTGCTGGAAGACAGGCGCGTTGTCGTTGACGTCGCCAATGCGCAGGGTGAAGACTGAACTGGAGGAGAGTGGTGGCTTGCCTCTGTCAGTGGCTGTGATGGTGATGTTGTACTCCGGGGTCTGCTCGCGGTCTAGAGGCCCATCTGTCACCAACTTGTAGAAGTTACTGGAAGAAGAATGAATCTTGAAAGGAAGATCTCTTTCTATAGTACACGTAACTTCCCCGTTTCTTCCAAAATCCCGATCGCGAGTTTTGAAGAGGGCTATGACCATGCCTGGAGGGGAATCCTCCAGAACCCGGTCGGACAGCGAAGTGATGATGATTTCCGGACTGTTGTCGTTTTCGTCCAGGATTTCTACGATGACTTTACACTGCGTGGAGAGACCTCCTCCGTCTCGTGCTTCCACTTCCATGGTGTATCTTTCTACCTGTTCAAAATCCAATGACTGGTTGTTTATAATCACGCCTGTCTTGTCATCCAGAGAGAATGTGTTCCGCGTGCTCTGGGCAGTGCTGCGTAAGTAGTACGTTATTTCCGCATTGATCCCCTCGTCCTGGTCACTGGCCATCACCTGCAACACGGAGGATCCTGGGGGAAGACTTTCACTGAGGCTCACTCGGTATTCGTCCTGGCTGAACACGGGATGGTTATCATTGGTGTCCCTAACCAAGATGTCTATACGAGCGGTGGCGCTTCGGGGCGGGTCCCCTCCATCCCAGGCGGTCAGTGTCAAGCGATGATGTCTGTGCTCTTCTCGGTCTAGGGTTTTCTCCAGGGATAACTCTGGGTATTTGCCTCCTTCAGAATTGACTCTCACCATTAGAGAGAAATAAGGGCTAGGGCTTATTTGATAATCCTTAATGGAGTTTGTGTTTATATCGGGATCAGTGGCAGCATCAAGGGGTATTCGTGCGCCAGCGGCTACAGATTCCAGAATTTCTAAATGTATTTCTTTTTGATCGAACTGAGGGGCATGGTCGTTAATGTCCTCAATCACCACAACGACATGAAAAACATTCAGAGGGTTTTCCACCACAGCTTCCAGCTGCAGTTCACACAGCTTTCGCTCTTTGCAGATCTGCTCGCGGTCTATTCGGTCCTTCACAAGCAAGTCCCCGCTCTGCGCGTCTACCTGGAAGTGCAGGCTCTCGGCGCTAACGCGCAGCTTCCGAGCAGACACATCCCGCACACTGAGCGCCAGGTCCTTGGCCAGGTTCCCCACCACCGAGCCCCTGGCCAGCTCCTCGGGGATAGAGTAGCGGATCGGCTCGCCGAGCGCGGGGCAGAACAAAGGCAGCAGGAAGGGGAGGAGTACCTGTGGCCGGCCGGCTCGGCGCCTCTGCGCGCAGCTCCCTCCCATCGCTCGCGCTAGTGCTGGCTTGCTCCGCGTCTTCCTGGCTGGAGACCGTGCATTCGGCCCCGGAGCGGCAGAGCCCTTGTCTCGGGGCTGGGGATCCTTCTGTGCCGAGCAGGGTGTGAGCATCCGGGAGCTCTGGTAGTGCGAGAGGGTTCCCTTCTGTTTGCTTTGGTGGCAGTGAGGAACTCCGGGGTTGGAGGCTGAGGACGCCGGGCGTCCGTGCTCTCTCTGCACTGGCCGACAGCGGCGCCCAGAGGCTCCATGTGGAACTGCATTTTCGTCTTTTCCTTTTGAGTGGTTTTTATCTCTAAAATGTATGTATTGCTTTTTGAAAAATGTAGGTAAAAATTAGCTTCAACTTTTAGCCTCAGCATGGCATCCCAGTGGATATGTTGCGTTCATTGTTTTAAACAAATTTGTTGTGGATGATTTTATACGTGTACAGCAGTAATGATATGTGTTACATTGTGAACCTTCACACACCCATCACCCAGTTGTGATTATGATGAAGGACCAATCTTTGCTCAACATATACTGTCTCCTCCCCAAAACCAAGATGTGATGTTTCAGTGAATTCTTCTCTGAGTTGAAGTAGTAAGATCAAACACCGCTAAGCCTGTCCTATAATTTGTGACTGAAGTACATTAAATGCTGTCTGGAACAGGAGGACTTGGCTTTTCCACACTCCATGGCGTCACCCATCCAGTGCTTTTGTGCCCTGGTTTTGCACACAAGTGGTCTTTTTTTATAGACGCATTTACTTACCAACAGGTATATCATTGTCTATGTTGAGTTCCCAAATTAAAACATATATTGATATTTATGATACCAGGTACAAACGTTATTCCCCAGGACAGTAATTTTTAAGTTATTTTTTCCTACTGCAGATTTAGAAATAAGGCCCTGTAGAGAATTTTTCTTTTTTTTCCCCCAGCAGCTTAAGTAGGAAAGACTGAAATAATTTAAATATCTTTATGTAATAATAGATTGTCAGAGTTGTTGGCTTCTATTGTTATATAAATGAAAAAAAGAAAATTCAGAAAAGTAATTATAAAGACAAAATCAATCCCTATTTTCTCAGAAATGATTATAATCATCAACTTACATATGGTTTGAACGGAACTTTGAGTCAACCTCAAGGCCTATTGTCCGATCATTGCCTGAAGTGTCATTTGTTACTAGGAAGTTGACATTTGTTTATGTGTGAAGACTTGTTTATTTGAAAGGCAGAGAGAGAGAGAGAGAGAGAAAGAGCGAAGTGAGTGAGTATGAGGGAGAAGGAGAGAGATCTTCATTTACTGGGTTTCTTCTCAAGTGATTACACTACCCAGCTCTGGGCCAGGGCAAACCAGGAGCCAAGAACTCTATGCTGACCTCTCACATGAGTGACAGGTGTGCAGGGATTTGGGCCATCAACTGTTATTTTTCCAGGCACATAACAAGAGATCTGGATCAAAAGTGGAGCAACTGATATTCGAATCATAAGGAATGCTGGCATTGCAAGGGCAGCTTGACCTGTTGTGCCACAAGGTAGGTTCCAAATTAATGTTTAAAATCATGTGAAATAATACATTCTTTTACACCTAAAATCCAGTAAAAAAAAAATCCTTAGAATTTCCCTATCAATTCCTAGGGCCTATTTCTCTAAATCATACAGAATTCATCTCTAGATTCAAATAGTAGTCTACACAGCTAAATAATTTTTTTCTCTGGTTTGAGCACGCATATTCTGCAGGAAAGTATAAAATTACACTACTCCCCACAATGTGATATCACAACACTAGAAAATGAAAAGAAAAAAATGGGATAGGAGAATAAAACATGCTGGCACGGTCACCATTAGGAGAATAAAATAGTTTTGTTTCCAGGGCTGGAAATAGATAACTGAAATTAGAATACCTTACTCAGCAAAGATCTTTAAAAGGAAATATTCTACAACCTGCGAAGTATTACCTCAAACGAGTCATTTCGTGACATAGAAGAGTATGCGCAGCAAGTCAGGGATTTCTCGAAGACACTTATTTTCCCTGGAATTTGTCCTTATACAAGTAGAATCGGCTATAGAGATTACAGAGGAGTAAGAATGCCCCAATTCAGGCACTGCAGATGACAAGGATCCATAAATTTCCAATCTAGAAATCCAGCCAGAAATTAGTAGTGACCCATTGCTACTATCCACGCAAGCGCAACCAAAGAACCACCCAACTACAGGGTCATATGAGCCATCCTGGGAAGAATGATCTCCGTTCAGTAGATAATTATTATCAAAAAGTGAAAATAAACAGAAAACCAATATATCACTCCTTTTAAGATGTCAGATAAAGAATTAGGCCAAGAACTCAATAGTTAAAAAACAGATTCATACCAACATACTCAAACCTGAACACACAGACCTAAAGGGGAAAACCAATCATAGGAAAACATAAGAAAAAAATAAACTGAACTCACAGGAACCAGAGGGGTGTTTTGCATGGGAACCCTGGAATCAAGTGGATCACATGAAGGCTTGCTTTTCCCACAGCTTGCCTGGCTGAGGAGTGTGTCCATGTAGTTTGGCTTTGGAAAGATGAGGTGGCTCTTGCCAGAGTCAGCTGTGAGGGAAAATTCCTGGGAATAGGTCTGCAGGAAAGTCTGCACCCCGTCCACGCCTACAAGCTGTGAGGCTGGCATGCCCAATGAACTGGCACCAGTGGCCAGCAACAGACAGGAGGTATACCTGCGTCTCAGCCTGACCGCCAACAGCACAATCTTTGTGGCCCGTTTCTATGCATGCGTGCACACACACACACACACACACACACACACACACACACACACATAACACACACCCCTTAAAGAACAATCTGTGGCAAGTGAATAATGCTAAATGTAAATTAGGGAGTCTTTAAAAGGTTGTCTAAGCCTTTCGATGTAAATGAAATAATAGCTAATGATGATGAGAGTTTCACAGAATCACCAATATATTAGACAAGAGATACTCGTGGTAAGCCTTTTCAGAGATCACCACAGTCTAATCTTCAAAACCCTGAGATCAGCGCAAACACAATGGAACTGCAAGAGGAAGAACTGAACTCACCTGAGCACAAGCAGCTTCATCTTTACATTCCTGAAAATCTACAGATGTCAACAAGGAGGCATTTTTCCCACAGCTCTCCTGGCTGATGAGTGTGTCTGCATAGTTGGGCTGAGGGAAGATGAGGTGACTCTTTCTGGAGTCTGTGGTCAGGGACACCTCATGTGAGTAGGTCTGCAGGAAAGCCTGTACCCCGTCAATGCCCACCAAGTGTGAGGCTGGCATGCCTGACAACCTATCACCTGCAGAATGCAGGAGGCGGGAGTGGTGCCAGCGCCTCAGCCTGAGTGCCAGCAGCACAATCACAAAGGCCAGGAAGACACACGACACTGTGGCCACTGCCACCACCAGGTACAGAGTCAGGTCTGCCTCATCAGCTTCCACTGAAGGCTTGAGGTGGCCCAGGTCAGCCAGCACTGCGGGGATGCTGTCAGCCACGGCCACTGTGAGCGTGACAGTGGCCGAGAGAGGCGGCTGCCCGTGGTCCTGGACGGCCACCACCAGGCTCTGCTTGAGTGCATCTCTGTCCAGCAGGGCCCGTGCTGTGCGCACCTCGCCCGTGTGCAGCCCCACAGAGAACAGCCCTGGCTCGCTGGCCTTGAGCAGCCGGTAGGACAGCCAGGCATTCTGGCCAGAGTCCCTGTCTACTGCCACCACCTTGGTCACCAGATAGCCAGGTTCTGCAGAGCGTGGTGCCAGCTCCACGCCTGTGGATCCATCAGTGGGGAGGGTGGGGTAGAGGATCTCAGGGGCATTGTCATTCTGGTCCAGCACGAAGATGGTGAGGGAGGCATTGCTGCTGAGAGGTGGGTCCCCACTGTCACTGGCTGTCACCCAGAGCTGCAGGTCTCGGAACTGCTCATAATCAAAGGATTGCAAGGCATACAGGACACCTGTGTCTGAGTTGATGGAGACAAAGGAAGAGAGAGGAGCACCCTGGATAGTGTCTTCAGCCAAGGAGTAAGTAACTCTAGCGTTCTCATCATTATCAGGGTCAAGGGCACTCAGCATGAAGATGGAGGTACCTTTGGGGTTGTTCTCTGGGAGGTAGACTGAGTAGGACGCTCGAGAGAAAGCAGGTGGATTGTCATTGATGTCAGCTACTTTCAGAGCGATGTGGATCTCTGTGGACAGGGCTGGGTTTCCTCTGTCTGTGGCCCTCACTGTGATGTTATACTCAGAGGCCTTTTCTCGGTCAAGAGTTTGGGCTGTTGTCAATCGATAATAATCGTCAACGGAGTTCTCCAATTTGAAAGGCAGACTGTTTGAGATGGAACAAACAACTTGGCCATTCTTCCCCGAGTCTCGGTCATGGGCGTTGAAAAGAACCACCACTGTTCCCTGGGGAGCATCTTCCCTCACTGGGCTAAACAGAGACGCAATGGTCACTTCCGGCCTGTTGTCATTTACATCTTCCACAGAGATCAGCACTTTGGCACGCCCTTTTAGTCCCCCACCATCTTCAGCCTGTATTTCCATTTCATAGAAGGAACATTCTTCATAATCAAGGCTTTTTGCAATTGATATTTCTCCAGTAGTTTCATTAAGCACGAAAAACGGGGATTGTTCCTCATTAATTTTCCAGAATTTATACACCACCTTCCCGTTGGCTCCCTCGTCCGGGTCGCTGGCTCTCACGGCAAGTAGCTGAGTGCCCTGGGGCACGTTCTCAGGCACTTTGACCCGGTAGGTCGGCTGAGCAAACACCGGGGCGTTGTCGTTTGTATCCAGCACGGTCACGCGGATGTGCGCGGTGCTGGAGCGCCGCGGCTCGCCGCCGTCCAGGGCGGTGAGGATCAGGTGGTGGACGGCCTCCTGCTCGCGGTCCAAGGCGCGCTCCAGCACCAGCTCGGGCCGGACAGCCCCATCGTCTCCAGTTTGCACATCCAGGGAGAAGTGCAGATTGGAACTGAGCTGATAACTTTGCAGG